GCAGCATCTTGCAACATAAGGGCGTCGAAGTAACGCTGTTCCAGCTTTCCGAGATGAGTCCGGAGGAGTTTTAAATTAGACGTAGCGTCTAATGTAAAGTCTGGGGCAGTTCACACCAGCCGCCTTCGCCCAGTTCTGTAAGCAGTCCCGCATTAACCACGTGCATTCGTCACCTTATCACCCACAGTCCAGTGGATAGGTCGAGCGATTCGTCGACATTTTCAAGCGGACTCTCCAGAAGCCAAAAGGGAGGCAACGACGGAAGAAGTTCTCGAATTATTCCCGCTGAACTATCGAGCCACCCCAAACCCTAACACTCCAAACAGTGTCTCCCCTGCAGAAGCTTTGATGCAGAGAAAGCTTCGCACACCATTTTACGTCACCCGCACACCTGCCGCTGTTATTAATGAATCAGTCCATCCGACGTCAAGGGAAAGGCAATTAAACCGACGCCATGGTGCAAAGCAAGGACTGTTCCACCCGGGCCAGTTAGTGCTTGCAGAGGACTACAGGAATAATCGGGAAAAGTGGACATGTCCGCCGGAAGTTTGGTGACTTCGTCTACAAGATTTGGGTTGCCTCACACAGTTGGTTGCGCCACGCCAATCTGCTGTAACACACTGAATGTACTGACGTGTCACATCCAAGCCCAAACTTATCATATGAACTACTACGGGACACATTTGATTTGCCGAAGCCAAGGTAAGAGCCCACAGTTCCTGCAGCAAGCCAATCTCCTCAAGGCGATCGGGCCGAAGAAGAACGCAAACGGTTCCACTGCAGGTGAACCCGCGTCTCAAATCCTACGACTCGGCTCAAATGGGAAGTGTTAGGGGCAGGCCTAACGACCAGTTATTACGCTCTCCTGACTACTCATCCCACGGTGCACTATCGATCGGTACAAGCCACGCGAGTGAGGAGATCGATCAAGCCGCCGTCCATGATTAGTACTCTGCGCTATCACTCTGCCCAGCCCGACAGTTAGTCAGAATGTTACCCCTCAAGAGCACAATTTGATTGGTCTAATTTTGTATGCTTTGCTTGCAATAAGTACTCTGTACTAGGTATAGAAAAACACTTCTACTTTTTGCGCTCTTTTTGTTGTGTTTTTCCTTGGGGACTCACACAAGGCGTAGTTAGACGAAGATACCGCAGCTTTGGCTACCTTTTCAAATACTTGGCGACGTAGTACTCATCATGTCCATCTCCACAGAAAAATGGCAGTCTATCTTGCAGCAACAACAAGCTCAGTTCGAGGCGGCTCACATGATGATGATGGAGTCTATGATCCAGGAGTTCAGGACACGCTACTGCTGGCCTGCACCCCCGCGCAAGGCCAAATGCACTGACCAAAACCACTGACAGGGAAAATCCATATGTCCTGCACAGCCAAATGAGGACGATGGTAAGCTGATATCCCTATCTGCCATGATTATTTCAAAACACTGGACGCCTGCTATCTTACTGAGATATCGACACAGTACAGGAAATATTATGGCAGCTAAACTTAGAGTTAACTGCACCCCAACTTAATAAAAAAGCTACCGAAGTGGCTCCCTGGGGGTCAAACACATCCCGACTAAACATGCGATACAAGGGTAGTCTCATCTTCCTTACATAAGCAAAACCCAACAAGGACAGAGAACTTGCTAAAGGAGTCTAGAGATTGTTAAGTAGCCGTATTCGCCCACCTGCAAAACTGGCAGCCATTGGCTACCCAAAACCCAACCAGGGCGTTCGATCGAATCCCCCTTTTGAGGTAAAGGGACAGACTCACCGCACGTAAGAACCCGAATCTACTGGACAGTCAGGCGAAATCCGCCTGCCTGTATTTGCTGATATGCAAATCTATAAAAATGCGGCATGCCCACAGGACAACCCCCGGATGTCTCACACAAACACCAGATGGAAATAAACAAAAAGGTCGTAAGCTCATATTCCTATCTACTCTGCTTACTCATTAGTAGTGAGCTACTGATACAGTCATAGGATATAGCAATGTTAGTTTACTACGGAAGAG